TGAATGCCTACGACAGCATGTCCAATCTATTGGTGTGAGATACAAACCTCCAATTAACTGCACAGCTGGATGGAAAATAGCCCAAGAAAGTGGGTGAAAATGATACGGCTCTTGATCACAGATGCACACCTCAGATTAAACAAATATCAGCCCACCATAGCAAACACAAGGAATAGCTGGAACTAATCATCACACCAGAGTACATGGAGAGGCTGGCCACCCCCATCATGATTGCTTCTCATAGACATGCTGGAAAAAGAAAAAACAAACTTCAAACCAAACCTCAAACTCAACCCCAGAATCAAAGAGGCACTAGAACCTGAACGAGTGATCAGCATGTCCAGCCATCCACTATCTATTGCAGAATACAATATTCTACAGAAAGGTCTCAATTATAACACAGATAATGCTAATTACCTGGAATTCTGTGAAGCCTTGCAACTACTGGACTTCCCACAGGGGGTCCAAGAAAACATCAGACAAACCATCATACCACAGACCAGAAAAAGATGACAACAAAGGATAGAGCAGCCCTCAGAAACCAGGCTATCATCCTCCTACCAGCAAAGGCAGAACCATCGTTCTTATAGACAGATCATAATATATACAAATATATATACAAAAACAATTACTAGAAGATAAAGAAACTTACATCCCAGTGAACACTAATACAATACAGAAACTAGACAACTGGATCAAGGAAACTCTCAGTGATCACATCAAGAAAGGCCAAATTACCAGAGAAGAACAGTGGTGGATGAGAAGCAGTGAAGTCATCCTCCTACACTTCTAAGGATCCCCAAAATACACAAGCCTGACATACCTCCCTTTTCAATTATATCATTACTAGGTATCATTACAACATCACAAAAGAATTAACAAAAAAGCTTGGGCACCTCACAAAAGAAACAATCAACTCCCTACATGCCTTCAAACAAAGATGTGACTATAGATGAGGACAAAATCCTGGTCTCGTTTGATGTCACAGCCCTTTTCACGTCCACAGACCCAGACTTAACCAAATACACGAAGATTGAAACACTCACGATTATGGATCTCATAAACCTCTGCCTAACTACATACTTCCAATTTGATGGACAAACTTATCAACAAATTAAAGATACACCTTTGGGATCATTACTTACAGGATTTATTGTGAAAGTGATAATGCAACATCTGCAACCAATAGCACCCCCACAAATACGACCCAAAATATGGATCAGATATGGACAACACCACCATCATTTTTTTTTAAAAAAGGAGCAATTAGAGAACACCCACAAAACCAATCAAAAACATCTTCAAAGGAATATACTTTATCAGAGAAAAAGAAAACAACTCAGTATCCTTCCTGGATATCCTGATCAGTAGAGACCACAATGGCAAACCAGAAGCACCGGTGTACCGAAAAACCACCCGCACCAATCAAATATTATCCTTTATTGGTATCAAACTTAGCAATGATTGCTTAACAAGAGAGACTCTCCAACTTTTCTGAATCCAATTTCAGAAAATACCCAATAACCAGGGTGAGTTTATATAAACATCTGAAAATACCGAACTCTTGCATCCTTTCCTCCCCTTTTTGCACATGGAACTTTGCAAACTTTCCTTCACTCTGTTCTGCCCCAGCTTCGGATTCCCAGAGAATGTGACACACACCAATCTTCCCAAACACTGTTTAATTCCAAACAAACCCCTTTCAAGAATGCAGGCTTCCCGTGCAAAGGGTCCTTATCAAAGTTATTAAGAACAAAGTCTGACAATGGTTGGCAACCAGCCCAGAAAAACAGATATGAGTAGTCGCTCGCTCTCCAAGATGCTCTGTAGTAATGAGTGCGACTTAAATAGGCTAAGGGAGTGGCCAATTATCCTCAAGCCCTACTCTCGAGTAGATCTCCTCCTCCTGAGTAGCCACTCCTGCCTTTTGGCAGCCCTGCGTGCCGGAGCATTGAGGAGAGGCTCCTCCACTTCACTCTCTCCATTGGAAGGAGCCTCTGGAGGTTCTGAAGGCCCTGGCTGAGTTTCTGCCTCTGGCATCACATCCTCTTCGGCCTCCTCACTGTCCGACGCGAGCGCCGGCTGCTGGCGTGACACCACACCAGCCTCCTCGTCAGGATCAGCCACGATCCGCGCAGGCCACTGGCGGGCCACAACACACTCCTAACAAACCTACTAATTAAATCTATTTACAGATCTCTCTAGATTGCTAAATTCTCTCAGTCCCGACATACTTCTTCACATCCACTGAAGTTACAGGAAAATAAAACAAACCTATTTAAGGCAACCCATAAATGCAACCAGTTTTCTAAGATCAAGTTGGCATTAAGACAATAATTGAGCCCAAAATTTCTGTTGTTAAGTGAGACATTTAAGTGAGTTTTGCCCCATTTTATGACCTTTCATGTCACATTTATTAAGTGAATCACTGCAGTTATTAAGTTAGTCACCTGGTCTCCCCATTGACTTTGCTTGTCAGAAGGTCGCAAAATGTGATCACATGACATTGGACACAGCAATGGTCATAAGTATGAACCAGTTGCCAAGCATCTGAATTTTGATCATGTGATTGTGGGGATGCTGCAAAGGTCGTAATCACTTTTTTCAGTGCTGTTGTAAGGGTCACTAAATGAACTGTTGTAAATCAAGGTCTATGTGTATTTGATGTAGAAGTAGTTTGGTGTAGTGGGTTAGGTGCTGTCATATAAAGCAGGGGATTGTGAGCGTTTCAGTCTCATCTTAGGTATGAAAAACCAGCTGGGTGACTTTGGGCCAGTCACTCTCTTTCAATCCAACCCTCACAGGGAGGGTTGTGGGGAAAATAAGAAGAGGAATGAGTATTTGCTATGTTTGCCATCTTGACAATGTACAATATACAGAAGGTAGGATAAACATGTAATAAATAACCAAACTGAGGACCCAGATTGTTGGGGGCAATATGTTGACTCTGTAAACCGCTTAGAGAAGGCTGTAAAACCACTATGAAGCAGCCTATAAGTCTAAGTAGCAGTCTATAAGGCTAAGAAGGAGCCTTGGTGGCGCAGTGGACTAAGTGCTGTTAAAGTAGCACTTAACTGCCAGCTGCCTGCAATTACTGCAAGTTCAAATCTCACCAGGCTCAAGGTTGACTCAGCCTTCCATCCTTTCGAAGTAGGTAAAATGAGGACTCGGATTGTAGGGGCAATAAGCTGACTTTGTATAAAAAAAGAACACCGCTTTGGGGGGGGGGCTGAAAGCCCTACTAAGCAGATATATACAAAAGTATGAAGGCTATTGCTTAATGCATTGTAAGCCGCCCTGAGTCTCCGGAAAAGGGCGGCATATAAATCGAACTAATAAATAAATAAATAAGTGCTATTATTGCCAAACCCAAATCTTTTGTCCTAGAAAGATTTTGATCTCGCGTCTGGCTGGCCCATTGCCCATAAAAAGAACAAGCAAACCAATTACCAAACCCAAGTCTTCTGTTGCAGAAAGATTTTCATCTCAAGTCTGGCTGGCCCAACGCCTACGGGTGGGGTGGGGGTGTGTGTGTGGAAAAACAACCTAAGCCTGCAGCACCATTTGAAGAAGCTCCCGAGAACCCGGGAAGCAATTCCTCCTCCGTTCTTGAGGCAGGGCTCCTGCGAGGGCCGCTTCAATTCCAGGCCTGGGGCTGCAAAAGAGAGAGAGAGAGAGGAGGAGGATGCAGGAAAAGATAAAGACCAGGAAAGACCCCAAGAGGAAAGAGGCCACATTGGCCACCCCCAAACCTCCTGCACCCCCACCCACCCCCGTCCCCTTGGGAGGTCGGGATGGGAGGATCTGCACCAAAACGGACGAAAGGAAGCCCCCCTTTCCGTATCAGGAGGATGCGCCTCGCCCCCGCCCCTTCCAGGGGCATCACGAGTGGAGCTGCCAGCCGCCTTCGCCTCTCCCTCCCTGGCAAAGGGAGCGCCATGCCCCTGAAGCCCTCCAACCGCCCCCCCCCCCCCCCCCAAGAGTGGGCTTTCCTCTCTATGATCACCGGACGAGCCCTCCGCCACTTCCTTGAGGCCTGGCAGGTTTCTGCTTCCCTTCCTTACCTGCGGCCGAGCTCAGCGCGGAGGCCGCCGCATCCCTCGATGATCCTTGGCCGTCTGTTCGCCCTAATAGCGGAAACGCCGCGCGCCGCGAGGCCTGCCAGCGAGCCTGCCTACAGGGAAGAGGCGGCGACAGCGACGACGACGGCGGCGCCGCGGGGACAAACTTCGTCCACCCACCTCCGCGCCTGGCAACGCAGCTCGCCCCGCCCTCCCCCCCCCCCGCCACTGCCCCCAACTTCTCGGGAATGGGATCAGAGTCTTGACGTCATCAGCCTTTGCGAAGTTGCGCGCGCCTTCTCAAAGTTCTCCGCTCCGCAAACGTTTTATGCTGCCGAGAGTCGAGTCACAATCCTGGGCTGTACTTAACAACAGTCCACTTAGTGACCGTTCGAAGTTACAACGGCATTGAAAAATGTGACTTATGTTATTATGGCCGTTTTTCAGGCTTATGACCATGGCAGCAGCAGCCCCATGGTCACGTGATTTACATTTGGATGCTTGACAACATATTTATGACAGTTGCGTGTGGTAATCTTTTGCCACCTTCTGACAAGCAAAGGCTGATGGGGAAGCCAGATTCACTTAACAACCGTGTTATTAATTGAACAACTTCAGTGATTCTCTGAAGAAATGCGGCAAGAAAAGTCGTAAAATGGGACTAAACTCACCTAACAAATTTTTCACCTTAATAATATAAAATTTTGGCTCAATTGTGGTTGTAAATTGAGGAAGACCTGTAAATATGTCCAGGATGGGTTCAATTTGTCTCAGTCCTTGGAAATGTTTAGATATGATTTATAGCAATAGCACTTAGACTTATATACTGCTTCACAGTGCTTTTACAGTCCTCTCTAAGCAGTTTATAGAGTCAGCATAATTCCCCCAACAATCTGGGTTCTCATTTTACCAACCTCTGAAGGATGGAGTCAACCTTGAACTGGTGAGACTCAAACTGCAGGAAGGCAGCAGGCAGCAGAAGTAGCCTGCAGTACTGCATTCTAACCACTGCGCCACCATGGCTTTTATAATCATACAAATCAACCATGCACAATGTCTTATGGTGAAACCCAAAGGTGCTTTTTCAAGAGGCAACTGGACTTTCTGTTTTTTCTTTGAAAACGTTTTACTTCTCATCCAAGAAGCTTCTTCAGCTCTGACTGGATAGTGGAGAATGGAAGGATTTGCACTATTCAGGTGACCCTGAGGACACAGATAAACCTCCAAGTGGCCTCGACGACTCTAAAAGAATGTCTGCAAGGAGTATAAATCCTTCCATTCCCCCTAAATAAGACCTATTCCAAATCAACCATGGTTATTGTAAATTTCCAAACATGAAAAATAAGCCAGGCCCTCCTATCCCAGATCACTTCTTCATGTAGGCTAGTGGGAAAGCAAAATATGTTCTAGATTTTCTAGAACGTTGTTAAACTTAGAAAAAATGAAGCATTTAATACATCATTGTTTCAGTGTTTTGATGTCTTATAATGGATCTGTTTTGTTTTTTACCGTAATTCTTCCAAATCATGGAAATTGAGAAAATCCACTGTCCATTTCCATGCTTCCATGAAGCAAGATGAGAAAAGGTTAGTCCTATACATTTAGTTAGTAAAGCAGTATACAGATTAGCTAAGAGGGGTGAAAAGATAGATCTCCATTGTTGCTTCTTATTTCTCTACAACTAATATCTACTCCTCCCCACAGATATTGCCCCCTCCACTGAGGCCTGCTTATTTAAGAATTACAGAAGGTGAATATACTAATATTTATTTTTTATTTATTTATTTATTTTTAAATTTGTATACCGCCCTTCTCCCTGAGGACTCAGGGCGGTGAACAGCCAAGTAAAAGCATAAACTACAAACATTAAAATACAATTAAAAAGATATATATAAATTTGGCCCCATGATTAAAAACAATAACAAACAATTAAAAACATTTTAAAAAGTGTTAGGCCAGCCCGGCTTGCTGGAAAAAGAAGGTTTTAAGGGCATGGCGGAAGGCACCGAGGTCTTGGATTCTCCTTATCTCTGGGGGCAGCTGGTTCCATAGGGTTAGGTTGAGGATATGAGACATAATGCTGGACAAACACGTGATATTAGATTTTCCTAATGTGCCACTGATGATGACTGAGAAATATCCCTCTTTCTGCAGAATATGGCAGCCATTGATTCCCCATCCTGCACCAGAGAAACATTTTGGAATCATACTGCTGGGTTCTGCCTGGGTCACACAAGATATACCGGCTGTGTGTCCTCATAAAACTTCATTGGACAGACATCAGAATAAGACTGCCACCTCTCAGCTACCTACGTTTCCTGCTGTGTATATGAAAGTTAACAGAGTTAACAGTAACAGAGTTGGAAGATACCTTGAAGGTCATCTAGTCCAATCCTCCGCTCACGCAGGAGACCTGTACTAGGGATTCGAATTGCCAAACTTTCTGATCGACAAGCTCAGTGTCTTAGCCACTGAGCCGCCCAGGTGAAATAGATTATCAAAATGCAGAAAAAGAATGGGAAAAAGCAATTCAATAAAATTAAACATACGTAGGGTTTAGTGCCATGCACTGTATATCTCCATATCTTTCTGTCCTTGGAAGTCATCTTTTTTCTACCTCATTGCCTTTTCTTCTTTGAGCCTCTCATGTCTGTTCTTCGTGGATCATGTCTGCATGACTGTTCTTTGTGGATCATATCAACTCCATGATCAATTCTTTCATCCTTCATATTGATTCAATTCTCATTCATTTTTTCTATATGACTAAACCAATTCAACATTCTTTCATACAAATTATTTCAGTGCAAATCTCCCTGAGTCCAGAGAACTTCAAGGAAAAGTACAGGTAGTCCTCATCTTATGACCACAAACTTCTGTTGCTAAGCAAGGTGGTTGTTAAGTGAGTTGTGCACAATTTTACAAGCTTTTTTGCCATGATTATTTCAGTGAATAATTGCAGTTGTTAAGAGAATCATAACATCATTAAGACAATCAGCTTCCCCCATTGATTTTGCCTGTTGGAAGCATTCACTTTTGTTCCCATTCCTTTTCTATAGGGCAGTGATGGCTAACTTTTTCCAGACCGAATGCCCAAGGCACATGCATTTGCGAATGCGCATGCACATGCCCGAACCCCCAAAATGCAATGCATGTGCAGCCCCCATACATGCGCCGCACCCTTACGTGCCCTACCCCTATGCATGCACACGCCCCCCCGCACCCCCACACGCACTCCACCCCCTGCGCATGCGTGCGCAGGCCTGCATGCGCCCCACCCCCGTGCATGCATGCATATCCCCCTGTACACACCACGCCCCCCATGCATGTGCAACAGAGATCTGAAGACCGGCTGGTGGGAGGTGCGCTTCCATGCACGGCGGAGCTGAACTGGGGCGATGGCTCGCATGCCAACAGAGAGGGCGCTGCATGCCACCTCTGGCACAGGTTCATTATCACGGCTATAGTGGAACAGTTATGGCTTTATTCCAGTTATGAGAGACAGATGCATTCTTCACATACATACATGTTAAGCAAATTATATGGACACCCCATAAGCAAAACATAACTAATTTAATTATTTCTTCAGCTACACTTTCTAAAACTGAGGCCTTATTTTTCAAAAATCTCATATTTATAATTTGATTTTTATTAGCTGTTTCCCTGGATACTAGCCTTTATATATTCCCTTTGATTCCACTCTTCAATATATTGCTGTCATCCTAAATAATTTTTTCTCTTTTATTTTTAATTCCATTGATTCTATTTTAGGCTCTCTTTTCACACACTTCCAAAAGAATTTTAAAAAATCCATAAAAACCACTCTGCGTTTTCTTTTCATTTTTTAATCTTAAAATGCCTTGCTTTTTTGACTATATTTTTCACAACTTTTCCTTCTATATACATAATATAGTATTTCTTTGTCTTCATTTTTCTGTAGCAATCAGTCTTTCCATGCTGTTTTTTCTCATTCACAGTGTTTCATTTCCCAATCATGCTAGGCTCGACAGTTTTTTTCTGTGGTATTTCATAATATTCTATTCACTCTTTTCCGAGCAGCTTTCTCATTACCATTCCATATATCCCCTTTCATTAATGCAAAAAAGATGCATAATGCACAACAAAGCCTTAACAGAGAAGTTTAATTTTGCTTATTTTAATTTGCTCAGAGTATGTTGAAGAGAAGCAGCTGTTATGTCTTTGTTAAAATACTATTCCATGACTATTTCAGCACATAAAAAGTTTAATACATTTTAAAATGTTTTTTAAAATCCTCTTGGCTACTTTTGTATAAGGCTGGTGTTAGAGAGCACTGTGCGTGTGGCAGTGGTGAAATCCAAATTTTTTTACTACCGGTTCTGTGGGTGTGGCTTGGTGGGCATGGCAGGGGAAGAATACTGCAAAATCTCCATTCCCTCTTCACTCTGGGGCCAGCCAGAGGTGGTATTTGCCGGTTCTCTGAACTACTCAAAATTTCTGCTGTCAGAACCTGCTGGATTTCACCCCTGGTGTGTGAGTTACAAGACCTATGTGTTTCCCACTCCAAAGAAAAATGAGGGAGCAAAAAACGTTTTGGCATTCCCATTATTTTTCTATGACAAAACACTTAAGAGCTTTTCAAATCTTGCTCTGTCATTCTGATGAAATGTTCGGATTAGGCTGTTTTGATCCATGTTTCTTATATTTTTTTCTCCCTCATTCCACATATATTAAGAGCTGTTACCTATGATTTGTTCAGCTGGAAGTGAAACTTATTTCATTTTTAAGGTTGGTAACATACCTAAAATGTACTATTGAAAAATTAAAGGAAAATGGAAGTTTGAAGACACACTTCAGCATTAGCCACCAAACTGATCTTTGAGAAAAACCTGTAAACACAAAAAATATATACTGCTTGAACTACAGATAGTCAACTTACAACCATTTGTTTAACAACCAGTTATGATGGTGCTGAAGTGATTTAAAAAATGACCATTCCTCACACTTAATGACCATTGCAGTGCCCCCCCCCCCGTGGTCAAATGATCTAATTTTGGGCCCTTTGAGCTGTGGTGGCGCAGTGGTTAGAATGCTGTACTGCAGACTACTTCTGCTAACTGCCTGCAGTTTGAGTCTCACCAGCTGAAGGTTGACTCAGCCTTTCATCTTTCCGAGGTCAGTAAAATGAGGACCCAGATTGTTGGGGCAATATGCTGACTCTGTAAACTGCTTAGAGGGCTGTAAAGCACTGTGAAATGGTATATAAGTCTAAGTGCTATTGCTATTGTACAGTTGCAGTGTCCCAGGGTTATGTGATCACCATTTCTGACGTTCCCAGGGATTTCTGACAAGTCACATCAATGGGGAGAGCCAGGTTTATTTAATTGCTGTGATTCACTGAACTTTTTATTCTTCATCCTAGTGTTTTCCTATACACATAGGGTCTGCTTTTCAAATCAACAAATACCATTTTATGGGATCAAATGCAGCAACCGGGTCCAACTAGATAATTTTAATGTCCATGTTAATTGAGTCCTGTCACTTCTGCTTTAGTCTTCTTCAGGGGAACTGCCATCGGTGCTAAAGTGATAGGTGGTATAGGCAACAGTGTGAGGATATGATTAGGCATTTTTCTGTTATTGGTGCAACATCCATGATTTGCTTAATGACCATGGTCCCCCCCAAAAATATAAAATCCGATGCAACTGACTTAATGTCATCACTTAGCAATAGAAATTTCAGTCCCAATTGTGGTTGTAAATTGAGGACTATCTTTACAATATTGTATTATAATCTTTAGTTCTCTTGCCAATTCACCTCCCTGTGTCATAAACAATCTCCTATTGACCTAAACACAAAAGACTGTTTAAGTGACCCTCTGGTCTCCACAAGAAAGCAGTGCCTTGTTTTGTAGAGCTTTTTTTTTTAATCATTAGTCTATATTATATAGTAACAAATGAAAGTTAAAATGATAGCTTTAAAGCATGAACCTGCTTTATTAGGCCTATCAATTCCACGTGTTACTGATTTACTGACTTTATCTTATTTGAAAGTACTTATTACATCAGAATGAACAGGCACATGCGTTAAGTACGCTGCTCGTGGATCACAGTAAGTCTGGAATTCTGGTTTATCACAATGTGACAATATGATTAGCTAGCTTTATGGCTTTCAGCTCTCCAGATTATTTTGCAGTCAGAATTGAAACTGATAGTCAGATAGCAGAGATGTTGAGATATACTATAGTTAGTATCAGGATTTTATTTGTAATACAAATCTTTGTTATATTAACTCTGTGAGTGTGTGAGTGTGTGTGCACAAATAATTGGGTTTTATATGAGGGAAAGTATGCACTTGAACAGTTCATAATCAAACATCACATTTACTTTGTCATTTATAATCTTTAGAATCCACATTTAAACAAATGAAAATCAGTACAAAACAGGAAAGTCTTCAAGACCTTTTAACTTCCTTACAAGGTTTGTTCATGGAAATAGTTTCTAAATCATGTACTGCTCTTCTGTGTCATAAAACTCCAAACTAATGATCCAAAACCCCCAAGTTGCGGAGTAGATTGGGGAGAGCTCCCATTTTGTCAAAAGGAAAAGACGGAAGACCCAAGAAATGTATTAAATATTATGGCACTAGAGAGGTACATTCCCTGCAGAAGTCTAGCAGGTTGGGAAGAATGTTTGCTACATGTCTTACTGGCCAGAAACTTTAAAAAAAACACCTGTTTCCTGCATTGGAAGAAGCAGGGATATGGGAAGCTGCCCAGATAAAAATTATCACTTACCCGTCAAGGTAAGAGCATCAAAGAAAATACAATTTAGGGGATACAGAGGAGACCCTACTACAAATATCTATATCATGACAGCAATAATGACAAAACATATGCACACCTCCAGTAACAGGGCTATGATTCACCAGAAACTAATCTTCACTTCTGCTCACCTCAAAAGGCCTTATGCATAGGCTTTTATTGGATACTATGCCGAGATCCATTAATCTATTTTATACACATGCACACGTGGATGAACGTGCGCATGCACATACACACTATATATATATATATAGTGCATATATATATATGTATATATACAGTATATATATAATGCATTCTGCATATATAAAATCACAATAGTAGCTGTTACTGTAACCAACAAAACTGCCACAAATAGATATGTGTGTGTTTATGTCTGTACATGTGTGTGTACTCACGCACATACATAAATTAATATTCCCACTGAGCATTATACACATGGATATTATTTTTTAAGTTATTTTTCCATAATGAACAAAAAGTATGCCATTTAGGATTTCTCATCTGTTCATTTTAGGTAAGAAATTTCTCTCCAACATAGAAAGCCAATTCTAATGGAATCACATTCAGGAACTGCTGACACTAACAGAGAAAAGATTTTCATTGTCTTTCTTGGATTTACATTCATGGTCATTCTGGAGTGGGAGAAGCAGAAGCAGAGCCAGCCCTAATGGCTAACCAGAGAAAAACCAGAAAGGCAAAATTGATCAACCCAGAAAGTTCTGTATCGTTTTTGGAGTATCAGAATCTTGTTTCCAACTTAAGGGAAAGATACAAGTCTTCTATAAAACTTGACTGCTTCCTAAGGGGACAACACACACCCACACACACACCCACACACACTGTTAAAGTCACCTCTGCCATGCAAGGACATCTCATATTAGAGATTCCTTGTAAACATGGATTGGATGCTTTGGCAGAGGAAGGCTCCTGGGCCCAGGCCAGACAAGTCAGTTTGGAGCCATTAGAAGAGTCTCCAAGGATGCACTAAAAGCCATCATGATTCTGTGTCCGAGCCTGAGCTGCTCTCTTGACTAATTTCAATCTGCAGTGACGGCAAGTTATCAAGTCGGCTTTTCTTCTGACGTGACTCTTCTTTTTCTTTAATGAGAGCCCCCCATGCCCGCTGGAGCTCAGAGTCGTCATCTTCTGGTGATGCTGGTGATTTTTCTGCTCTCTCTGGGACTTTTTCCTGTGTCTTTGATGCAGATCCCAAACGTGTCCGTAGATTTGCTGTCATTGTACAAAGAACAGAATGTAGTAAGAATTGTATGCAGAGAAAAGGCATGCTCTCAAACAGGTGTTAAGTCTTCAATGATATAATCCAAACTAAGGTTTTACATTCACAATGTACATATGGCTTCTCCTGGGGTAATACCTCATGTACTTTGTATCTCAACCTACAGCTGTTAAAGACTTCCAGAGTGGTTTACATAATATCCACCATTTTTTACATTTCTCTCTCTATCCTTACCACTACATATTAATTCCTGCCTGTCATTGATAACCTTTTCCCCCCCACCTCCCACTTTTATTTACCACAGAGAGAACTTTATGATCAGAGTTTTTCATTCTGTATTTCATTCCAGATAAAATGGCAAAATGCAACTCTTTCTTTAAACAGCGAAGCACAGATCTCTTTTGAAGGTAGTGCTAAAACATGGAGAGCAAATGGGTATTACTATCCCCAGAATCTCTCTCTGAAGAGCCAGATGTTGGTAAATGAATTTTTTTTAACCATTCCCTTTGAGCAAGATTAACCCCAGGGCTCTCACCTATAAGCAAGGACACCAACATGTCCTTGCTTATGGGTGAGAAAATGCTATTTTTTCTTGCTTATGGTATAGAAAATGCTATTTTTTTGAATTGTTTTATTCAAATCCAAATAGCTAAGGAAGCCTAAGGAATCCAAATAGCCAAAAAACCCTAAAGAATCCAAATTGCCCAGGGAGCCAATGACTCTAAGTGTGGTTTCTCCAATTTGCAGTGAATGAATTGATCTGATGTACAGAATTAGTAACTTCAGCCATATTGTTTTTATAAACTTTCTTGAGATAGATTTGTTTATTGTACAGAACTAATTGAATGTACTTTAATCTTTCAGAGAACCAAAAGCACTTTATAGCTAGTCCTCAACTTATAACCATTTGTTTAACGACCGTTCAAAATTATGATGGTGCTGAAAAGTGATTTACAATCAGTCCTTGCACCTATGGCTGTCATAGCGTCCCTGCAGTTGAAGAAATAGTGACCATCTCAATCAGCATCAGAGTTCAGCACACATTTCAACCTATGCTTCCCAGATCACCGCTCACTAATGAAGCTACTGCATGACATTACTTCGCATGCTGTCTACCTTAATGGAGTTACTTACGATTATTATAAAAAAAGAGGAAACAACTAGTGCTGAATTACACGCTCTGTTTACACCCTTTGGCCATCACTGCTTCTAAAAGCAACAGAAAAGTTGGCTGACAGAACACTGCACAGAACTGACCAGATTTCTTCTCTCTGGTATCTGAATAAAGGCCTTTCCCTTCTTGCCTGGGGATTCCTAGACGACTATGAACATCAGACATAGGCTCACGGTGAGATGAAGAGATACTGCTGGGCTGAGGTGCTTCTGGTGAATGTGGCCTCTTGCCAAGCCTCTGTCGGACATCTGGAAACAATACATGGATAATTATGCATTTAATTTAACTCTGCTTACTAAAACTCATCATCCCAATGAAGAATCTGAACATTAAGCTAAGTATACCAGTCGTAGTACATGATCCTAGATCAGAGTTTCTCTTGGCAGTTTGAAGACGTGTGGACTTCAACTCCCAGAATTCCCCAGCCAACAACGCTGGCTGGGGAATTCTGGGGGTTGAAGCCCACACATCTTCAAACTGTCAAGGTTGAGAAACTCTGTCCTAGAGCCTGATGGGAAGAAGACTGGGGGTGTGGGTGGGGGTGTATGTGTACATGTACATGCGGTATCAGGAGGGTGAATGATCTGAAACTTCATAAAGGCGGGCCAAACCATCTCAGGAGCATCTAGCATTTGAAAAATAGCCATGTTGTTCATCCTATTTATTCTGAATTATACAAGTAATACAATGTTACAAAACAGCTCCTCCAAAGCAGAAGTAAATCGGGACAATCAACATCAAAGGATCCTTTACCTGATTTCACAGAGCTCAGGGGCTGATGCAGGCCAGGGCTCCCATGTCTTTTTTCTTCCAACAGCAGTCTCACATCAGTAACTTTCTCTGAGGGTCCTTTGCTTCCAATACGATTCTTGATATTGCTGGAAGCGACACTGTCTGCTCTCATTGAATTTCTACATTAAAAAAAAATTCTCCATGAATCAAAATGGAAACTGCAAGCTCTACAAACTCCACCAGAACGTCTTTTTGTGTAAAAAGTGTGTAGTTTAATGAGAATAGGTAAATCTGTACTTCAAAATCAAGGTTCCAGTTGCTCTGGAGTGAGAAGGTGCTCCAATCTGTGTTCTGCTGAACATCTCAAAGCCAGGAAAAGATCACCCACAGGCTAGCTGAAGTCCTTAACACCAGGGAAGACTAAATATTAGCATGAGCAAGGATCTCCCAAATGTGACGGGAAAGGAGCCTCGGCACTACAATGATGTGTGTGTATCTTGACCAAAATAAGATGTTTGAGTCTTCCCAGGCAATTGCTGTTCTGCCCATGTCTCACCATTCTCTAAGGCTGTGGAAAAAGTAACCATCAGAAGTCTGAATCAAATGAAGTCTGAATTGGGTAGGTTTGGTGCAGGGGTGAAATCTACTTACCTTCCCTACCAGTTCAGAAGTGCACGCACACATGCAGAGAGGGTAAATAACAGGTTACTTCCTGGTTAAAACCAGGAAGTAACAACGACCGGGTGGTTGGGCAGAGCCTCGCGCTGCTGTCACTACCGGTTCTCCGAACCACCCGCTGCCATCGCTAGCGATTCAGCCGAACCGGTCCAAACCGGTAGCATTTCACCCCTGGTTTGGTGTGAAAAACATTGTACTAGCATGGCTTAGTTCAAAAATTGCTTTAAATTGACCTAATTTTTTTGTTTTACAGAATCCATATGTGACTTTTCTCTTTTCCACATAAAGATGCATAAAGTACAAAAATAAAAGTTGGTCTAAATTAATGAAAAGGTTTGCTGGACAAAAAAAAAAAAAAAATCACAGAAAAAATGTATGCTGTTAGAAGCTATTTTAAGTTTGGAAGAGTAAAAATGAAGCATCTACATTCCTTCTTATAAAACTGAATTAATAAAATGATTATATTAACTTTTATATATAATACTTCATTGGATCATGAAGGACCTAGAACTTACTAGAACATACTGGATATTTAAAACTAACCATGTAGAAATAAAATCAGTAACACATTACATTACTATTGCTAAAATATGGAATTTCATGATACATGTAAAATTATTATTCAGCTTGTATAACTGTATTGTAACCTAATATTTTAATATAGAAACAAAGTTTTATTATAACATACAGATCTATGTGTGATTTATTTGAGCTTTAGTAACAATGGTATAACTAAGTTTAGTAACTAACTTTACTTCTACAATGTGTCAAAGAGAACCAGGACATATTATCCGATTATAACCTTATATTCTGCTTTTTTTTACATATTGTTAGAATTATTTTATTTTTAACTTTTATGAGATGATTTCTGGAAACTCTAGGAAAAATGTATAGTCTGTCTTGCCAATCCAATATGGAGCCTTGGTACCATGGACAAAACATCTGGTATGAGCAAATGTATGATTTGGTTACTGGTAGGAAAGTTCAGATGTACGAAAATTGAGGCACACAGGATCAAAGAAATTACTGACATCTTTAAAGTCCAGAAATATAGGAACATAATCAATCCATATACAGGTATTTCTTGAGTTATAACTATTTCTTCAGTGACTGATTATAATAGCAGTGAATCGGGGGATTTATTATGTCTCCTCAAAGTCACAGCATTCCCATGGTCATGAGATTGTGACCATTAGGTGTTTGGCATTCGCTTCTGCTCTTTTCTCTCCTGAGGCACATCTGGGCAGCATGGGAATTTGTACTCTAGTGCTTGCCTGCCCATATTCCGTAATGCCCACCCAAAGCACCCACTGGCCTACCCATAACACTTGTCCACTGACCTGCTTGTCTGGGAACAGTTTCAGCATTCAGAGCCGTGGTGGCACAGTGATTAGATTACAATATTGCAGGCTAACTCTGCCCATAGCCAAGAGCTCAATCCTGACCGGCTCAATGTTGACTCAGCCTTCCTTTCTTCCAAGGTCAGTAAAATGAGGACTATTGGCGGCAATATGCTGACTCTGCAAACCACTTAAGAGAGTGCTATAAAGCACTATGGGGTGGTATATAACTCTAAGTGCTATTGCTATTTCTACCCATGTCATGGTTACAAAGTCCTCATGTAATAATGGAAACACGGACCACCTCTGCTAAGTGATGTGGTCAAATGATATTGCATTTTATGACAGCATCATTTAGCAACAGAAATTCTAGTCCCAATTGTCATTGTAGCTGGAGGACTATCTTTACTGCCACTTTGAAAATATCCCTGCGTAGAATCAACAACTGAGAGTCTAAAGTAGAAAGCCAATTAAATATGGCAGTAGCATCAAACACATAGATCATGAGATGTCACACTTATGTCATTCATACACACATCTGTAAAGTGCTAAAACAAACAAGAAGGGCTTATTTACAGATGCTAGAAAAGATAATGATGAATTCCTTCAAACTCCAAATTTTTAGTTTCTCTGAAGATGGGAGAGGTAGACTTTTTTATTCTTTCTTAGAATTTAATCTAGCTGATTAAAGAAACCCTTTTCCCTTCACAACTTCTTTCCTTACCTGTCTTAATTTTTTGCGCTATTATTGCCTTTATGTGAACCTGAACAATCTAAGAATCTTGAGCTTCCACTGGAACAGTGTTTACATTTAAATATTTAGAATGCTTGTGTGTGTTTACAGTATTAATGGAACAGGCAAAGAAAATATATTTGAATATACTCTTTCATCTTTTGAATTTAATATCGTTTCCAAATTTGTTTTACCCTCAAATAATTTCTGATTCACCTCTTACTATAATCTTGTGGTCAGTGACATTGCAATTGCTTCATTTATTCTGCTTTAAATTGATCATTTTATTTCATGTCTGTTTTTCCATATCACCAGTGTGCCTATAATCCCAACATACTTAGCTTGAACCAATTTTCTTCTTTTATGCAGTCTTAATTTGATGGTCAAACCTCATCAGCTCACCAAAGTAATCCAGGATTAAGAGATACCCAGCTTTTTCAATGTAAACCAGCCTTACCTAATGCTCTTTAACTGAGACTCTACTTCATCTGCATACATAGTCATTTTCATGCTTTTCTTGGGGGAAGGAGTAGAGATCATCTTCAACTCAAGATCATAGTCCATTTCATCAGAATCAGATTCGCTAGCACTGGAACGCCGAGCACTCCGTTCACGAGACTGCTTGTAAGCTTGCAGTTCATCTCTATATTCCACAACTACACGATCATCCTCATCCATATATTGATCATCATCATCCTGGTCCTCTTCCTCCTCTTCCTCAATTGGTTCTTCAGGAACATTTACTAATCCTGGAAGGCAAGAATGATCTTTCTAAAAAGGCTAAAACCGCACCCAGCATTTTATGTGTGAAAACAAAACAGTTGCATACAAAAAATAAAAGTCTTTCATTAGGTGGCACCGGGAGTACTTGCAAAGGAAGGCAGACATGATCTCAAAAAATAAGAATTCAGTAAATATTTTGCTGGTTTAGTGCAATTCTTATTTCCCAAATGACTTCTGTCGATACCTAAGCACCTTAGAAATCTATTTTGCTAATTTCCGTGTTAAAGAATTCCCTATATCATGAATTATGATAATAAATAACTTATGATAATAAATAAGAGCCTGCCTATTACACTAGCTTGATTGTAGCAAGTTAATGTGGGAATAGACCACCTTCTAATGAAGAGAAAAGAAGATAATCTCTATTGTCGTTTTTCTGTATACACAATGGCATACATTAAGATGAAATTCCCACTCTCAAAAGAAAAAACGCCATCCACCAAACAATGTCACCATCCCAAGGATAAGGAGGTTTCTTAGAAACCTTGAAAAAGAGCTTAAAAAGTGCAAGATTGGTCATCAGATGTCACTATAAAGATCTCAGTCTAAGTTTTCTGTATAAAAAAGTAAAGTTTGTTCCCTGGTTGGTTTGTTTTTGAGTTTGCTCATACAGTACATGTCATTTGTATGCGCAGATTATTGGTTATTTTGTTTTGCATGAATTACATTCTAAAGGCTGAAACAATATTAGTTTTATCTGAGTTTGAGGCTGAATGACGAGGCTAACTCCTCCCTTAAAAATCTAGTGTTTTTTTTCTATTTGTGTTATTTGCTCCATACGATTACTTGGATTCTTAAACTAGCTTGGCCTACATTCCAGGAACAACACTTTCTGTTGCTTTTAGAGAGGAATGAAAGCACAGTCCCAAAACCCAGTTCTTCCTTCCTATTTTGATTTCACAATGCTATTCTATAATACAGATAACTGTTTTTACTGGAGAATCCATACTGTACACGTGCAAAATTAGGTAGTGAAGCCTTATGACAGAAGAAAAAATTTACACATACACGATTCATACACCAGTTTTATATTCATACTCCAGTTTTATAATGTACAACAGACCAACTGTGTTGGAAGTAGTTATAATTTGCTTGCATTACAAAATGTTTTCACTTACCTGAATGATGATGTTTATAAGGGGGTGTCAGACCAACATCATCCCCAATGAGGGTTCTTTTTTTAATTACATCCCGGTGAAGTCGGCGTGAATGATACCTCCGCTTCCTGCAAAGACAGAAGATTTATAGATAACATGTGCATTAACGTTGGTTTTCCTATAACCTTCCACTAAAAACTGGCCTTGTAGATATAGCCAGTGAATTTTTGATAAGGAATGATTTGGTTGTGCTCCCTTCCATTTGCAAATGACCCAGAAAAATGATGATCTTTCACATTCTCTTTTATCACTACCATGACAAAAAGAAAAAAAAAATGAAGCTTGGTTATGGTTATAGTTCAGTGTTCTATGAGAATCCAGAAAGCGTTCTAATGGGTCATATGAACCAGACCACTGTGTGTTATATCATAACACAACTTACATTTGTTTAATCATAGTATGTTAGGCAAATATGCTATATTTGCTATGAACATAGCAATTGTACTTTGTTAAATCAGGATTAGCTTTAGCATATTGTGTCAACTATTACAACTAAGAAACCTGTTTCCCCCCACAACCCATTCCCAGATATACCGTACATATTAATTTGATCTTGCAGATATGGCAACTTTTCAAATTACAACTCAAAATTATATGGAGTCTAGGAAACTATTCTAGATATTTCTTGAATCCAAGAACATTCCTATTTTCAGTATTCCTGAGTATTTATTTCTTGTGCTGTCTGCTGCAGTTCTTCTACTTGTAATGTCTTCTTGTAATCAAGCATGTACCTAATTCCACATTCCAAGAATATAGTAAGATGGGCCTGGACTAAAGGCAGCCCTTATTGAGCCCAGTGCATTAACTGATGCTGTTATACAGAATGAAGAGCATACCGAGAAGATACTTCCCATACATCTTCCTGGCCTGACAGAGACACGAGACGTGGGAAATGAAAAAATATTTTCAAACAAGGAATCTGGCTAACACAATAGCTCATATTTTGGACAATGCAATTTCCAAGGGGTATCTCTCCCCAGCTCACCATGAGTTGCTCAAGATGCCTTTCATGCCTCCATAATTAGGATTTCCATATTTCATGTAATACTGACTTCTCCTGGCAGCCCCAAGCTCCTTCTTGTCATCTGTAAGAGTAGCACAAATGCTAAGTGGATGCAGGGACATTCTACACTATTGGAACCAATCACAAATTCTTTCCATAGTGGGAATCAATTTCAATGGCTAAAATGTAACCCTAATCCTTTTTAATATTGTGGGGTTTGTTTGTTTTTTTAACTTGCAATAGGTGGGTTAAGGCTGTAGAGGCTTACTATCTAAACAGGAGTGTTATTTCTCTAAAAATATTTTTAAAAGACATAGAAAAAAAATGACAATTACATTTCACTGCTGTGGTCTCATGCAGTCCACAGACAGCTAATACCTGATCTGCAAAGAAATCTATGAATCAGAGCGGAAAGCACTAGGAAAGATTAAAAGATGAGATGAAAACCTACCTAAATAAAACTTTTTCTGATAGACTTGGTGACTATTAAGAGATGGACTTCTCTTCAGTAGCATCCTTGTTATGCAGAGCCTTATAGAGAGGATCACTTGGTACCCATACTTTATTTCACATTACATCTTATTACCAAGTTTTTTAAATTCTTAAAATATTTTACAAATTTACAAATGCTTTTAATTCTTTTGAAATTTCTGTGAAAATTTTGGTTAATTACTATATAGATGAGAAATAGCTAATTCATTATATTTCAGAGTTCATGAAAGATTTCTGTGGACCATAAAATTAAGACAAACACTGGGCCATAACTGTGCACTGCGCTGCAATGGACTCTTTGTATAGATCAAGCTCTTTACCTCTAGTGGCAAATCTCATGAAGAGCTTGTTGCCTTTGGCCAGCTTACTGGCTGGACGAAGGTCGTTACGCAAAAGGGAATCTTCTTCCACTTGGGATAAAGTGTCCAGCTGTAGAAAAAAAACACCACACATTTCAGGCTAGTATTTCAGGAGTGACCATGATAACAAAAGAGGACCTGAAAACCACAAATTTATTGTTCTATTTCAACTCAAGATCTCTCTGCTTGAAGAAACCAGCCCAGTTTTTGATTCTGCATTCACTTTTTATTCAGTTCAATGAAATTGCAAAATGATATACATGTCTTCAAGAGGAGCATGAAGCTCAGTTTAAGGGGCCTGTTTTGGTCTAATACATAACCAATCATAATTCCTATGTTATAATTACATTTTATTGGAGGTTGTCAATGAAACTCCCCCTCCTCCCCATGGCAAATTAGATTGCAGATACTCATTAGTCATATTCTGTTATTTATTTCATCTTTCCTCAGTATGGGCAGTCTTCAGATATGCAGAACGTCTCCCAGAATCCCTCAGCTAACACCATAATTGCGCTAACCTCTGTATCACTTGGATGATCATCTTCTACCTCACCTTCTTCTGTTTCATCATCTGAGCTTTCCTCTTGTTTTTCTAAAATAAACAAAATATATATTTTACAATCATTACCTTCTTGTCTATACTTAGTAAACAGTGCCTTACGGTAGTTGATTATCCGGAAGTGCCAAAGGCAGAAATCATGAGATGAAGCAGGATTTCTCCACAACAATGAAACTTAGCTGGCTGTTTTACACTCTAATATTGATTCTCCAGGTTCCCAGCAGTAAAGCCATGTAGGACTCAGAAAAGGAACAGGAAGATGAGCCACACTTCTTATGAAAGAAATACATTTTCTACCTAGTACCAAGTAGCTCAGGGACAGAGAACCTAATTTGCATGCAGATTATCCCAATATCAGTCCAAAGCATTCAAGATTACAAACATTTCAGACAGTAATGCCATTGGAATTATTAGTTGGCTTGGAACCACGGAAGAGCATAGGAAATGCTCTTGCATTACCTACGTCATCAAAAAAGCACAACAAAGAATGTTCTTTCTGTGCCAACTCAGGAAGCTCAAATTGTCCAAGGAGCTGCTGATAATAGTTCTACAGAGGAATTATTGAGTCTTGTCATCTGCACCTCTATAGCTGTCTGGTTTGGCTCTGCAACCCAACAAGACAGGCACAGACTTCAGAGGATAATTAGAACTGCAGAAAAAACCATTGCTACCAACCTGCCTTCCATTGAGGACCTGTATACTGCACGAGTCAAAAAGAGGGCTCCTGGACAGTTTCAACTCCTACCCTCCAAACTACGCTATAAAGCCCTGCACACCAGAACAACTAGACACAAGAACAGTTTTTTCCCAAACGCCATCATTCTAATTCTATTCGTTAATGACTGCCTCACTATTTGCTGTAGTTTGATCAACCAAAAATTGGAGATAACCCGGATGGAGTCTTTCCATATCTTTCTAGTATAGTTAGAATTGAAGTTAAAAAATTTTGTATACAAAACGTGTTTTACTAATTAGGTACCGTTCTTTCCACAGCATAGATAATACAAATACTCTTTGATTTACAACCACAATTGAGCCGAAAATCTCTGTTACTGAGACATTTGTTAAGCATGTTTTGCCCCATTTTACAACCTTTCTTGCCACAGTTAAGTGAATCACTGCAGTTGTTAAGTTAGTAACACGGTTAAGTAAACCTGGCTTCCCCATTGACTTTGCTTGTCAGAAGGTTACAAGTGATCACATGACCCCAGGATACTGCAATCATCATAAATATGAGTCAGTGCCTGAATTTTGATCACATTTGCCAAGTGCCTGAATTTTGATCACATGACCATCTGGATGCTGCAATGGTCGTGTGAAAAACGGTCATATGTCACTTTTTTCAATGCTGTTGTAACTTTGAACTGTCACTAAATGTTGAACTGTTGTAAGTCAATGACTATCTGTACAAGCTCAGCCAAACCAATAATCCACCTCAACAGAGAATCGTGTCACAAACTTATAAAAAAGACTCAGGAAATTCAAATAAAAATATTTAATTATAAAGAGGAGGAGCTGAACCAAAAGCAAAAAGACAACCAAGAAATCTCTCTCTCCCTTCTTTTTGCTTTCTATTTGTGTAAAAATGGAGTAAAGGCTTAAGTCTGATTAGCACTAAGGCCCTGCAACTGAACTGATTCTTCTGAACATGCCCATTGTTTCACATGTTCAGTCTCCTTTATTATGATCAGTAGTTTTCTTGAAAATCCTTTTCAGTCTTGTTATCTAAGGCCTTTTCACACTGGTGATGAAAGAACCTTCTATAAATGAAATATATGTACAACATTTAGAGGTAGATGCTCATACTATGATCTCTGCAAGCAAAACTATCACTGGAATCGCATTGGTGGTTTCAGCAGTGAATTTCAGAATCCCATGTAACATTTTATTTATTTATTTATTTTATTAAATTTTTATACCACCCTTCTCCTGCTGGACTCAGGGCAGTGAACAACCAAGAATAAAAAACATCAATACAAAATTTAAAATTATTAAAAGAATTAAACAAATTTTGGCCCAGATTTAAAACATCCCAACTAAAATCCGTTGCAATTAAAATATCTAAGGGGCGGGGGAGCGCGTTACGCCAGTCCAGCTTGGTGAAATAAAAAAGTTATGAGGGCATGGCGAAAAGCACAGAGATATGATAGCCTACGTATCTCCGGGGGCAGGTCGTTCCAGAGGGCAGGTGCTGCCACAGAGAAGGCCCTCCCCCTGGGGGTCGCCAGCCGACATTGCCTGGCTGACGGCACCCTGAGGAGACCCTCTCTGTGGGAGCATACTGGCCGGTGGGAGGCTATCGGTGGCAGAAGGCGGTCCCGTAAGTACCTAGGCCCTGTGCCATGGAGCGCTTTAAAGGTGGTAACCAATATCTTGAAGCGCACCCGGAAGACCACTGGGAGCCAATGCAGCTCGCGCAGGAGGGGTGTCACATGGGAGCGGCCCATCGCTCCCATAATCCCCCGTGCGGCCGCATTCTGCACCAGTTGGAGCCTCCAGGTGCTCCTCAAGGGGAGCCCCGTGTAGACAGCATTGCAGTAGTCCAGGCGGGAAGTGATGAGAGCCTGAGTGACTGTGCGTAAGGAGTCCCAATCCAGAAAAGGATGCAACTGTGAATCAGGCGAACCTGATGAAAAGCCCTCTTGGCCACGGCCATCATATGTTCTTCTAAAGACAGCCATGCATCCAGGAGGACGCCCAAGTTGCGAGCCCTCTCTGAGGGGGCCAGTAACTCGCCCCCAATAGCCAGCGATGGCACCATCTAGCTATATTGGGACGCCGGAAGCCACAGCCACTCAGTCTTGGAAGGGTTGAGTCGAAGCCTGTTTCTCCTCAATTAACATGTGCCTAGGTGTACCATACAAAATACAAAATCCTGTGGTTAAGGAACAAAGTGTCTTTTACCTTTCTTTGTGGAGTCTTCTATTTTCTTACAGTTTTCTTGGGGTTTCATTTTTGCCTCACTAGGCATAGAACTCATGTTGATGAGTGCTCGCGTCGCTGTTACTTCATCAAGCCAAACCACATTGCCTCAAAAGAAAGAAAAAAATTCAGTTAGTTCCCAAACTACAAACACATAATGAAAAATGAAATCATCTGTCTCAAGTCTGAGAGAAATGTCATAAGGAAAAACTTTTCCATTCCCAGTATAAGTTTAACAGAAAATAAAGGTGACAATCCCCATAGAATACATCATCTTTCTGCTTAAAACAAATTTACTGTAGTTTATTTGTTCTCAAGTACTTACAAGATGTGTCATCCAGCCACTCAATGTGAGCAGGGGGATATTCCTTGAAATAGGCAAAAATATCCTGAGTGCTCATTTCATCAACACCATAAATATATATGGTATCTAGTCGCAATTTGGGAATGGCTGCAAGAAATTCAAAATCTAGTCTAAGTGTCAGCAACTAACAAAAGAAAAATAAGGCAAACGAAACAAAAAACATCAGGCAACAACGCAAATAAATCAGCTTCCCATCACTTTTTTGAAAGTTCAAGAAAGCACAGCACAGCACAGCTCAAAAAAGGAAGAAAGGCTGCTTTGTCCCATCATCAGTGAGAATTATCTAGATGAAAAACCCTGGAAAAGGATTCCTTTCATTCCCTTTTCCATAGTCCATCCTGGACATTCTTTCCCTAATGTAGGCATAACAAGGTTAAAGAAGTGAAAGGGGGGGGGGTCATCATTCTTTTGAAAACAGTGAATAATGCACATTTTAAAAAATCTATTCAAATATAAATCCCATTAAATTCAACAGTTATTTGTTCTCATTTAAGGATCACAGGACCAACAGTTGAACAAGAAAGAAATAAGACTTTAGCTTTTTCAATGTGAGCATATTTCCATGTAAAGTTCACTTCTGACATCTTCCACTATTATTCAATCCTAGATGGACTAATGATTTGACTCAGTACATAGCAGATAATTATGTACTAGAATAGACACTTATTCTACTGTGTCAGACCTGCCTCAGCTTGAACCCCTAAGCAAGAATGATCCTTACCTCCATTTATTGAGAAAGATAGTTTACTAGAGGTCAAGGGAATTACAGTAATGCACAGCCAGAACTGAGAATCGCGTGCCAAAATCCCCAAATCTAACTTTTCCCTCCCAGTTGCCTCCCATTACTGGGCCCCCATGTCCTATCAAACTCAGATAAGATGTTTTCAGAACAGTCACTTCAGACATAGGTTTGGTCTGCAGCTGCATTCCGTTCCCAGCCAGTTGTCCTTGAAGCCCATCTCAGATACAATGAAGTTTCGTTTCCCCAAAGCATCCCCACTCCCATCCAGCCCCCCCGCCCCCCCCAAGTTCATGGCAACTGATACTGAATGGTTGAGAAGCACAACCATTCTGGGGTGGCAGCTGACATACTGTTTCTACACAAAGTGGCCGATTCCCAAACTGTTAGCACAACTGCTCTACTTTACTAATTCATTTGCTGAAATTAAGAAACATATCGTTTGGATTCTTTCCTCATGTATACAAAGTTATCCACTGAAAAATACACTCATTAAGGAGGATCAGTTGTGCATTTCATCCAACCTGGAAGACCAAAACACCAATAGTTTTACAAAGCTCACAGCAAATAGGAAGATTTGCTTTTTTAAAGAGCACACAGTTCTCAATACCTTTCTTCATCATATCTCGATCCAGTGTTACATTTCTTTGAGCAAGATTGATTTCTCCACGAAAATGAAAACGTTTTGCTCTCTGCTCCTTCTTCTCAATAGCTTCCTACAAAACGGAAAAAAGAGGTGATTGAACATCCAAGTGACTCGTAGTAACAGGAGCTGATATCTGCTTTGCAAAAAACAGAAAAGATACTCATATTTCTTAAAACCTAAATTCATTTTGTGTGTGTGTATGCTGCTCTGCAGTATTACAACATTACCTGTACAGAATAGCAGCAGAAATTATGGCCTGATGCTTTATGCAGTGTAACTGGAAAAACAACTTGCTCCTTCTATCAAGTCTCCATGTGATGCAGAAACATTTGGCTCTCCCTGACAGAAGGGAATGATGCAATTGGGAAATAAAATCCAGGCCACCATTCAAAAAGCTTCTGAATAAATTTAGAGTTACAATTTTTCACATTCACAGCAGGAAGATAGGTAGCTTCCTATTTAAGAAAAATATGCAGAAGCCTGATTGTTTCAGGATACAAAATCTTCCCATAAATTGCTTCTTGCAATAAAATATCAGCTGTATTCAACAGCTTTGCTAAAACTGGGGATGAGTCCAGAGTGCCATAGCCCAGTCTCTGCAAATAACTATTAGAGTAATTAATCAGAGAAGCTGATGATAGATGACAGGAAAAAGCAACCATTTCCCAGTCCAGGCATACTGAAACCAAGTTCTTGTGTCAAATGTTATTTTCAATAATTTGAACATCACAGTTCCATTTAAATACTGATTGTATTGGGGAATGGAAATATATTTCTTCAGGCTCAGATTTATTGTATGGAGACCAGTCAACTATGAAGGGAAGCTCACAGAGATTCTAGAGAAAAAAAATAATGAAAACTATTACATTTGCCATTATATACTTATTAAAGAACATAGATAATTTACAAAATTGCAAATAACACATTACTTGGATCCTGCCAACAGCCCCCCCACCCCTATTTTTAAAGGGGGAAGGCCGTGCTCTAGAACAGTGTTTCCCAAACTTGGGAACTTTAAGAAGTGTGGACTTCAACTCCCAGAATTCCCCATCCAGCATGGCTGGCTGTGGGATTTTGGGAGTTGAAGTGCATACATCTTGAAGTTCCCAAGTTTGGGAAACACTGCTCTAGAAATATGCCTATACACTGGAGTGAAACTCACATAATATACATTCATATAAAAATACAATAAAACCTCCATAGTTAGTCACCTCTCTATATTGACCACCTCCCCCTAAATTGACCTAATTTTCATAGTCGGGGTGTACACTATATGTAAACAATAGAAAGCCACCCTCTCTATACTGACTACCTCTGTATATAGTGTATCTTGACCACCTGGATCTTGACACACGGTATTAATTTGCTCTCTGTAACTTGACCTTTTGAGTCCAGTCTGCACCAAGGGCAAGAAAAGTGAAATGCAGAATTGGTAGCAATGAATTTCTTTCAAGAAGAGTATCAAGAGAATACAATATTTTTGACTTTTATTCGGCAGTTTAACAATGATAATTATGAATTTATTTCCTAATGACAAATTGCACAAAGGCTTAATTTTTTTCCACGTCAATTATTTTCCCCTTTTCAGGATCAATTAAAAAATAGCCAATGGTAAAATGAAACAAATACACACACAACACAGATATATGCAAGCAGTTTTATTCGTTTTACCATGAGGCGGCCATCAAAGCAAAGTGCCAACAACAGTGTGCGATTTACAATGGACCTAACCATTGTGAAAGAAAAACACAGTTTTAAAGTGCAACAAACAATGTTTAGCTACAATTATGAAGAAATTGTATGAGAAAGAATCAGGTTTTTTTGTTTTCAAAAAAACTTGTCTTTTCTCTATGCAAGTTGAGTTGTAATAGAAAAAAGAAGGAACTGAAAGAACTGGCATAGAAGTTTGATCTTTTTTATGCTTATGTTTTCTGGAAAAACAGTATCCAAAGAATGATGGCGGAACATTTTGGTGTCAGCAAGATGACAGTAAGCAATATCCAAAAACATAAGAATGTGTACTTGGAGAGATATGATAAAGAATGTAGAAATTTACAATGCAAAAGGAGAAACACTTTGCTGGATGAAGTCAATGAAGCCATGTTATGTTGGTTCAAACAAATGAGGGCCGTTAACGCCAGAATCTCTGGGCCAATGATCCAAGAAATTGCTAAAATGTTTACAAAAGAACTCAGGGTATCACATTTCCAAGCATCAACTAGTTGGCTTGAGAAATTTAAACTATGACACAAGATCTCCCAGAAAGTATTGTGTGGTGAATCTAGGTCCCAGTAGAAGTTGTTGTAGAGTTCATTGAAAAGTTTCCAAACAGTGGCTTCAAAGATGACATCTTTAATGCTGACAAGCGTGGACTCTTTTTCAAGGCGATGCCTGACAGGAGCCTTGTTATGAGGGGTGACAAATGTTAAGAGTGGAAAACTTTCTAAAGAACGTTTTGCAGTTCTGCTGTGCGCTAGCTTAACCGGAGAGAAGCTAAAATCTTTGGTGGCTGGTAAATTGGCAAAGCCACGCTCATTCAAGAATCTGTAGCCCAAAGACCTTCCTGTCATCTGGAAAACTAACAAATCTGGATGAATGACTGGTGCCCTATTTGAGGAATGGATAAGAGGTACTGACCGAGAAATGAAGAAGTCTGAAACAATACAGAAGTGCTTCAAGAAAGTTGGATTTGCTACAACCCAAGAGCAAGATGTTGCTCTATCTCTCATGGCAGAATTCGAGGGAGCAGATTTTGAAGATTTTGTTGCAATGGATGATGATGAAGCAATGTGTGATGAACCTGACCCAGAAGCAATTTTCCAATCAGTATTGACCAAGGTACAACCCAGCGGAAAAGTGCTGGAAGCAATTAGTGAAGCAGAAGAATTGAGGACCCAGAAATTCCAGATATTCCAAAAGAAGAGGATGTCAGTCATTTGATAATACAATTAGTCATTTGTTGTGGAAAAATGCCCAGGTATGCTGAATGGTATAACCAGTGTTTAGAATGCTTTCTCCGCTTACCTTCATAAAAAGAACAAGAAACAAACTAAAATTTACTTTTTTCGGAAAGAATGATCAAACCATGAGGTAACAATACATACATAAATGTATTAATTCCGTATGATAAAATATTGTAAGAATGATTTTCCTGTGTTTTCCCTGTGTGTTTCTGAATGACATTGTCTAATAAAAGCTGTACAATAAAATGAGGCACATGTACATATCAGTAGTTCTGTATGTTGACCACCTCCATATGTTGATCACTTTCCTTCAACTTTCAGAGATTTTACTGCATGTATATGTGTACGTCAATGAATCTGACATTTTTCAGGTTTCCAAAGTGAATGAAAAGCACATCACTGTCTGTAAATACCTTTGAAGTCACATCTATTCCAGTGATAAAGCTCCCAGCTTTGTTTTCATATCTTCTGCTAGTATCCTGAAATAAAACAATCATTAATATAACTACTGAACAAACTGCCTTTCGGCATGGTAGCGTCCCCAATTAATGATGCAAGTTATAATATATGTTCCTAATCTGAAGTTCTCCTAGAAACCCTGTTTCAACCTTTGGTCATCTCTCAATTCCCAAAGATCCAAGCCCATTAACAAGGGCCATCCAAGCTACAAAAAAACAACATTTCAGTTGCTCTTTCTTGTTTTCTGTTAATTTTAAACTGAACTAGTGTACTTTTTTTTTTTCCTTTTTGAAGCCCAAAGTAAAGGACTGGTAAATGTCTACCATTCCTCACCAGCCTATTGAGATTGCTCACTCCATAAGAGCACTGGGCACTTGTGAGCAAGCCGCCTTCATGGTCCTCCATACAGGACTCTTTCAAGAGCCCATGGAACAATTCAAGAGAAACCTCCTCAGCTACACTGCATTTTCTGTGAAATGACGAAGCCCAAGTAAGTAATCAGTAAATAAAACTCCCCTTTTAGTGCCAAATCTGCCAAATTTCGGGAAAGCTTCTATCTGGGGCCAGAAAGCCGTGCAAACAAGAGTTGGAGGCAGAAGAAGGAACGAGGGAAGAAAGCGAAGAGATCTTTTAATCAGGGTCGCCCTGCCTGTTTGTCAACATCCGCGTATCTCGGGTGACTCCATTCATCCCTGACACAGCGAATTCAGTCCCTCTTTGGTCATGGGACACGCAGCCTGCACATGCGCAAAGAGTGCCCTGTCTTTCAAGCCTCCAAGATCCAGGTTTATGTGGCTAAGGGCCTCCCGTGATCCCCTCCACCCGGCCCGTTTCCCCGGCTCCGTTACCGGCAGCAGCTCCCTCAACGAGCACCCCACAGGCACGGGTAACTCCTCTGCTGATGCCGTAGCTATCTGAGGCGAGGTGGTAGCGGGGGCTGCGGCCTGAAGCAACAGCTCGCCCTCCTCCACTTCCATGGGCTCCGGCTCAGTCGCCTTCACCGAAATACGGAGGCCCCGTACAGCCGCCATCGCCCCGCAGGCCCTGCCGCCGCCGCCGAAGGAGGGCGAGACCGGAAACAGGAACAGTGAAGGCGGAAGTCATAGAGACACGTTGACCGGCTGTGCAGAGCGCCACTCGAGGGAGATGCTGCGCCCATCAGAGGGGCGGACTGTGGAGGGGACTTGAGAAATTACCCGTCGCCCCGCCTCATGGGATGGGGTTTGATGTTATCCTGCCTCGCGGTTGCAGGAAAATAGGAAAAAGTACATTCTTTAGGTTAAGCGAACCTGATAATTATTAATGTTGTCACAATGTATTGAACCGTAAACTGAGCAAATAGAATTTCCATCAGCACATACACGTCTGATACAAACATGCATATCATGCATACATGCCTGACTAGGTGGCTCAGTGACAGACACTGAGCTTGTCGATCAGAAAGGTCGGCAGCTCCGCGGTTTGAATCCCTGGTACAGGTCTCCTGCGTGAGCAGGGGGTTGGACTAGATGACCTTCAAGGTCCCTTCCAACTCATTTACTGTTACATCAGAGGAATAAAGCTGTTATTTCTGCAGTCTAAGTCTGTTACCCCTACACATAGCTTAATATGTGAACGATGCAACCAGGTATTTTATTAATTAAGCACATTACATCAACATAGTCATCATTTGCAATCTGTCATTCATCAAATTCCAAACTGCCTCAACAAAAGTACATAATGATTAAATATGCTGCTGTGCAGATTCAACATCCTCTCTCCCTTTTCTAGCCCCAAATGCCAGTGTCAACTTGATTATCATTGTCAATATTCAAGAACCTTCAAGTCAATTTTTGGTGAGTACCTGGACTACTGCAGTTTTCTTGGCAAGTTTTTTTAAAAGTGATTTCCCATTGCCTTGTTCCTAGGTCTTAGAGAGAATGACTGGTTCAAAATCACCTACCTGGCTTTGTGCTAAGGCAGGATGAACTCATGGTCCCCTACAGCTGGCTGCTTTAATCACTACAGCAAACTGGCTCTGTTTAAAGAATTCGCTTTCATATGGTTCCTTGCTTTTTGCACCTTGGTCATGCAAATTAAATTTGTATAGCATCTCATTTCAAATACACAAATAATAAAGCTGATTCTTATGGTTTTAATGTGGAACAATTTAAGCTACAATTGGTAGATTCCATTGGAATCAGTTCCCTTTCCACTCAATGTCATGAGTGGATGGGAAACACAATCACCAATCATTGTTCTTAAAATGTTATTGGGTGAGCTCAGCCAACTATGGATGGTTATCTGAGATCCAACTTCGTGTTTCAAGGTTTCCAAGTGACAGGTTACCAGTGTTGAAAAAGTTATCCTTGCTAGTAATTTGTGGTAGACCTGTATTTCTGAACACAGGTGTAGCACTCTCCTGGAAGAGGTCTAAATCCATGTTCATAAAAAAAAATGTCTAAAGGAGGGATTCAGAATAAAGTCTGACAGAGCTATCCCATTGTATCAGGTGGCTTCATCCCATATGTATCCTTTTTTATCCCATGTGTATCCTTTTTCTGTTCCTGAAACCTTTAAACTATGCTTTTTTGAATATGGATTCTTCCAAAAGAATGTAGATACATTTCCAAAAATAGCCAGAATGACATGTCACTGGCACAAGGTACGTTGAGCACCTGTCCTAGAAAGAAATATAGACCAGACTCTTGTTAAGTGCAGTCCAGCTACCATATCTTCCAAACTAACAAATGCTCAAGGAAGCAGCAATGCTGACAGCTGCCAACACTCAGAAGTAGCCTGTAAAATAGATAAAATAGCATAGAAATATACAAAATGTGTCACTCTAGCCAAAGAAATAAAGCCATAAAAAGGGCCATATGCTTGATGCTTGTATCATTGCAATTTATATTGATATTATTTCCTAGTATGATTCAATTGGTTATTGTACTGTATGACTGTCACTGGGTGTTGTGCCTTGTGATTCTTGACGAGTGTATCTTGTCTTTTTATGTACACTTGAGAGCATACGCACCAAAGACAAATTCCTTGAGTGTCTAATCACACTTGGTCAATAAAGATATTCTATTCTGTTCTATGAAACTGCTTTTCAGCAGAAGTAGCAGAGAATTTGTAATTCATTCATTTGGAACAGAACTAGCAAATTCATAGGTGGCAGAATTCATTTCTCTATCAGGAGAATGATCAATGCCAATTTTAATTGTGACTTGCTTACAGGGATAGTATTTTGCTAGCAGAGCAATTCTGGGAATGGCAATCTCAATGCATGTAAGAGAGCCCAGGGTTGTAAAAAAAAATCTGCCCAACAGTGATTCTGGATGGGTGGGATTCAGAACAGGGGTGAAATGCTCCTGGTTCGGACCAGATCACCTGATCCGGTAGCAGTGGCGGGCGGTGGTTCAGAGAACTGGTAGCAAAAATCCCTGCCCCACCCCCCTGCCCATGCCCAGCTGAGCCACGCGATCCTCAGAGGCTTTTTTTTTTTTTACTTTAAAAGCATTTTTTCTACAACCTCTTCGGCCGAAGAGGTTGTAGAAAAAATGTTTTTAAAGGGTAAAAAAAAGCCTCTGACGATCCCAGCTGAGCAGCACAATCATCAGAGGCCTTTTTTTACTTTTTAAAGCAATGCTTTTAAAAGTAAAAAAAAAAAGATTGTGTGCCACAGCTGATCACCTCCCTCTCGCATGCTGTTCTACTTAAACTGGTTCAGATTTCACCACTGATTCAGAAGTATGATTAAGGTGATACAAGTCACGGGTCGTGCAAACTTTAAAATTTTACGGCTTATTGCAAATTATAAATAAAACAACTACTTGTCGTAAACATACAAATCGTCCCAGAAAAAGTGATCTTTTCACCTTTATCACAATGAGATTCAAGTTCTTTGACATGATTGTTGGGACTTAAGATAAGAAAAGAGATTCAGTTACCTTGGGACTGAAATTATATAATTAATTTTGCAGATTGCTTGAATGCTTAATAATGCTTAATAAACTGGGACAAAATGTGGGATATTCTTGAAGGTAGATGGTTGAATGGCTCCTTTCAAAGGTAGGATTGACAAATGTGGGCTGTAATGATCCAGGTGACCACTGGATGGCAACAGAGAGGATTTTTTGAGTAGTCTGCTTTTTGTAGTCTAGATCTGGTAACCCTAAAGAGCAACAGATTTCTTATTGAGGGTGTTTTTCTTTTAGCTTAAATGCATGATGATATGATTTTGTTTTGAAATATCCAGCTCTCTCTTGGTAAAGGAAAGTGCCTGCTCCAGTTGCTGCTCTGGATTTTCTTAGAAAGGGGAATAGGCCATGCAGCTGGGACTTGCATCTGCTGGACCTTCTACTCATAGACATTTGTCTGGCTCTTGTTCTTGGCTCCATCCCAGGTTTCTCTGAGCTCTAGGCTAGGAAATGTTTGTCCCTCTTTCTCATTCCCCTCCCCACTGAAATGTTTTTAGCATGATATTTTAAGACTGTATGGTGATACGGCCAAGCTGCTGCTGCTGCTTCTCTCAATAGAAATGTCACCTCTTCACTTGACTCCTTGCTACTGGGGAAATGGTTAGAATTGGGTGAAATGGCCTTTCAAGCTGGCAAGTGCTTTGTCTTTTGGGATAAGCCTTCAACGATGATGTTTGTTCAACTGGCCTAGCCTGGAGACCTCCATCCTCTTCCTTTTGAAAAAGCTGCTGTGGCTCCACTACAGACTTTACATTCTTCATCCTTCACCATAGCAATTTATGAAACACTTATTCAGCTTTCATCAGGTCCCGTTTATATGTACACTTGTACACACGACCTCTCATTCCTCCTTTTCATCTTGGCATGCAGACTTTCTTCATTTGCTTTGGAGAGATACCAACACATACACTAAAGTCCCATTTTCCAGGAACCTTCTGTTTTTCTTCTCTGTAGCAGTGCCTGGATGAGATTTCCCTTGAGATTTGAATGTCCCCACTCTGTTTTTCATCCAGGCCTTCAACAAGGAAAATGGAGACCCCTCGCTCTATCGTGTTTGCCATTTTTTTCTTTATTTCTTATGTTAATTTCTTTGCTTGATAGTTGTGAGTCAAAGTCATTGAGAGTTTATTACTATTATTATTTACTCCCCTTCCCGTTCCACATTACCCTCATAAGAGCACCCAACAAAAGCTATTTTTCACTCACTAACTTGAATATCCCATTGCTAAAATTATTTTTTCTATCTCCAGATGCCTTCTTTATTTTTCCTTCCCTACCTCCTCCCTGTTTCCCAGCCTTTAAATCTTACACATAGTCCTTCACATTTTGAGGATGAACATGCCCTGATAAATGCCAGTCCAAGGAGATGCATCAGTCCATTTTTCAATTAAACAGTCATATGCTGCAGCACATAATGAAATTAAAGCAATACAAACAATAAAACTGCAGAGATAAATTGCAGCACTATTGTGGAAGGACAGCTAAATTAATCTCTGGTTATGAAAATTAGAAAGTGGCTAGTAGCACTTTTTGAGGCCAGACATTTTATTAAAAGCTTTCGTGAGCTGCAGCTCATTTCATCAAATGCATGGAGTGACTTAACTACATTGGGATGAAATGGGGAATACAGAGTGGTTATAAAGGTTGTATGGAGGTCAAATTACAGTCTTAGGTTAAAATTCTGGCGGTTTTGGGATGAAACCACAGAGTCAGGTAGTGCATTCTAGGCATTGACTACTCTGTTGCTGAAGTCATATTTTCTGCAATTGAGTTTGGAGCGGTTCACTTTAAGTTTGTATCTATTGTGTGCTCGTGTATTGTTGTGGTTGAAGCTGAAGTAGTCATTGACAGTACCATCTTAAAAGTAATACTTTGGGAGATTTCTGAATATATTTTAGCACACATGACAATCTTTAAGTCAATTTAAATGTAAATATGCCTGTTGTGAAGTATAATGGGTTCATAGGTTGTTATTCAAAAATAAAAAACATTTTTACCCAATTCTGAGTAATTTATGCAGGTTTCAGAAGCCTTGTATTAGAGGAAGAATATGTTAAGGCACCTCTAACCTGGTGTGGAAAATTGTTGGAGCACATGGCATGATGGTGATGTTGGGGTAAAT